TGGGCATACAAAAGGCAGCCTGTGCTCAGCCTTCAGGGTCTTCTTCCACTGGTGGAGACTGACTGGTTCTACCCTGTCTGGAACATATTTTCACTTTGTGTAGCTTCCTTCCTTACTTTCATTCTTTTATGTGATAAACTGTTTGTATAAAATTGCTCTGTGTCTGTGATCACTCCATCATCGGCTTGACTCGGTACCAGTACTCATTCTTGACTGGGACCCAGGGGACCAGGGAACATCCACACAGATGAACATAACAGGAGGATTGCTTGAGCCTTTGAATTAGACGCTCCAGTGAGCTATGATCATACCACTGCACTCCGGCCTGGGCGACAGAGTAAGATTCTGTTTTTATTTATTTTGTTTTTTGAGACAAGGTCTTCCTCTGTTGCCCAGGATAGAGCACAGTGGTGTCATTATAGCTCACAGCAACCTCAAACTCCTGGACTTGAGTGATCTGCCTCAGCCTCCCAAGAAGCTGGGAGTATAGGCACGAGCCACCACACCTGGCTAATTTTTCTACTTTTAGTAGAAATGGGGTGTTGCTCTTGCTCAGACTAGTCTTGAACTCCTAAGCTCAAGTGATCCTCCAGTCTTGGCCTCCCAGAGTGCTAGGATTACAGGCGTGAGCCACCGCACCCTGCCGAGATCCTATCTTTAAAAACAAAATATGAAAAGGAAAAAAAAAGAAGAAAATGGAATGCAGTCAAGCAATTCTTAGAGGGAAATTTATAGTATCAAATTCTTATATTAGAAAAAAAGAAAAATCTCAAATCAACAACCTAAACTTAAGCTAGAAAAGAAGCTAAAAAAGAAGAGAAAAACAAATCAAATGAGAAGATCAATAAAATTGATAAACCTCAAGCTGTAGCAGAATATCTTGCCAGTGAAACAAACATATAAGGAGTGAAAATTATATTTATTTTTTTTTAATTTAAAGTCTCTGGAAATTGTTTAATGGGAACAGAACAAAAAAATATTTATTCAAGAAAATCTAATCAATCTTTGTAAGAACAGGAAGAGTCTATGGCCTTTGAACTATGACCCACTCTCATACCACCCCTCCCTAACTCAGAGTCATATCCCCTTTACTTTACACAGCTATGCATGCGAAGACCAGGGTCTCTCTCATCTCTTAGATTCTAGTCTAAGGTGACAGTTTCTCCCTGGGAGGACTGGGCTTCCTTACCCTCCATTAGTCCCTACTTGCAGGGCGGACGCTCTACTCCAGTTTGTGGCAGGCTCAGAATATTGGGCCATGGTAGCCCTCACCCCAGCTTGCTCATAGGGTACAGGTTCCAAGCCAGGAGGAGTGTTGTGGACTGCATTATTCCTCCCTCAAAATTCATATGTTGAAGTCTTACCCCCTAGTAGCTCAGAATGTGACTGTATTTGGAGACAGGGTGTTTCATATGGTAATCACATTAAAATTAGGTCATTAGGGAGGGCCTAATCCAAGATAACTGGTGTCCTTATAAGAGGAGAAAATTTAGACACAGATCTGTGCATATGAAAGACCATGTGAAGAAACAAGGAAATAATGACCATCTACCAGTCAGGAGGAAGACTTCAGAAGAAACCAACCATGCCAACACCTTGAGCTCAGATCGTTCACCTACAGAATTATGAGAAAATACATTTCTGTTGTTTAAGCCCTCTGGTCTGTGATACTTTGTTATTGCACCCCTAGCAAACTAATACCAATTTTGATATCAGGAAGTGGGATGTTGCTATAACAAACCATAAAATGTGAAAGTGGCTTTGGAACTGGGTAGAAGCTAGAAGAGTTTTGAGGTGCATGATTAAAAAAGAAGCAGAACTTGAAGATGTGAAAAATTCTCAGCCTATTCATAAGAATGTAACCATTTTGTTTCACTGCCCACCCCCTTCTTCTTCGTTTCTTTCTATATACCCAATACCCTTTAAAACCTGAGTTCCCAAATCCCACTTTGGAAGAACAACCACAGATTTGTCTGTGGTTTTTGTTTTTCATGGGTGCGTCCTCAACTTTGGCTTAATAAACCTCCGTGATTGAGACCTTTACCTCAGTCACTTATTTTTGGTTGCCAATATACATGTAATGTAATATTATTTAACCTAAAAAAGAAGGAAATCCTGCCATTTAAGAGAAGGGCCTGGAGGGCATTATGTTAAGTGAAATAAACCAGACACAGAAAGACAAATACTGTATGATTCCACTTACATATGGAATCTAAGATACTCAAACTCATAGAAACAGAGAGTAGAATGGTGGGTCCCAGGGGCTGAGGGAAGCGGGAAGTGGGGAGGCGATGATTAAAGGGTACAAAGTTTTAGTTATGTTAGAAATGACCTGTAATGCTGTTAGGAAAATAGTCAGTCACTGCAAATTGTCTCTGCAAGGCACAATCTTTACTTCTGATCAGAAGGGCACCTAGCGGCAGCAAGAGCAGCCAGCCAGAGCACTACAGGGGAGTTCCTCCCCCTTTTATCCCTAACACGGATTTATGGCTGTGTCTCATCACATTGGCCGGGATTTCCACCGCACAATCTTGTTCTTACCCGATTGGTTAAGGTGTGTTGGTAAGACACAAAGGAAGAGGAGGTAGGGGGGCTCTTAGTGTAGTAAATATTTAAAGTTGGTGGGCTAGTCAGGCACAGTAAGGTGTATAGAAGTGTGTTACTTCCTGATACTTTGGCAGAAAAGATCAATCAAGGTTATCTCCCCCTACAGTTATGCAAGGTAAATAAGTTCTGGAGATCTACTATATGGCATAGTGCCTATAAGCTAACAATACTGTACTGTAAACTTAAAATTGCTAAGAGTGTAAGCGCACCCCAAAGGCCATTCAGACTATATCACCAGGCTAGCCAGGCTAGCTAAAGGGAAGCCATTTTGCCTCCAGTATGCTTTTGGCTTGTTCTATCTTAAAAGTTTAGAATTAACCTCCTTCTTGCTTATACAGGTGTCAGGCACAAGATTAGAAAATGACCTTGAAGAAAAACAGATCAAGACTCCAAATAGGCCAACAGCAGACTGCTGATGACAAGATTCACCAGACAACCTATTGTTTGCCAATAACCATGCCGACTTGAACAAAGTTTGCTTTCTACCACAAACCCCCTTCATCCTTTCCCTTTATGAGTTGCTCAGTAAGCAGAGAAAGATGAGATGGTCTTTGAGACAATAATCCACCATCTCCTCAGGCTGCCAGCACTGGAATAAACTACCTTTCCTCACTCGCCTCTCATGTTTGGTTTTTGGGTGGCAGGCAGCAGAACCCATGTGCTTGGCAACAAGAGGGTCTATCTTATGTTAAGTGTTCTTACCAAAATAAACAAAAACAAAAACCCCCACAATAATAATAATAATAAAGGGGATGGGAGGAAACTTTGGGAGGTGATGAGTACGTTTATGGTTTTGATGCTGGTGACAGTTTCAGGGGTGTATACTTGTCCCCAAACTCATGGAGATGTAGACATTAAATATGCACAGCTATTTATATGTCAATCATACCTCAATAAAATGGTTCAGAAAAAAGTTTTACCTATGTATACATTTTAAAATTTCTACTGTGAATATTTTTTTCTTTTATTACATATTCTAACCAGCTATTGTTTGTATCTAGAAAACCCATTCCTTTTGGATATTGATTTAGCAGTTGGCTATATTGCTAAATTTTCTTGTTAGTAATTTTTAAATAGCTTTTATTGAGTTTTCCTTTTGTTCAATCATACTATTTGAAATAATAATTTTGTCTTTTTTCAATTATTATATTTATTCCATTCCCTTACCTGGGAAAGAGAGAGAGAGAGATAATTTAATTAGAACAGTGAAGAAAGGCTCCTTGGAGGATGTAGGACTGGATGAATCTTGCAGGAATAGTATTAATAGCATAGATAGCTCAACTTGAGCTGTCCTACTGCTCACCAATATAGTGATTGGTGGCCCCTGAAATTCTACATATTACATCATAGAAAATTTCACAAGATAGTGATTTTGGAATATGTTATGTTCATAGTAAGAGCTAAAGATAGTTTTATTTTCTCTATTAACATCACAACAAAATAACTTAAAAGTCTGGCATAAATGTACACTAGTACATGAAATGTCCTATTATTATCATTTTCAATAAATCAAAAATTTAACATTTTTGAGAGCCCACAAATTTCTCACCATCCAAATCCAGAACAAGAATGATAAAAACAGTACGAATAAGACCCCAAATCCCTCTGCACTCTGGTTATTGTATCAATGAGAGTGTAGTTTGGTTTTTTTAAGCCTTTTGTTCACTAGCTTCCCTCCCAATCTCACCCTAAGTATTGTGTGCGGTATAGCCTTTGAGTTTCTTCATTTAATTGTAAACTTCCGAAGGTCAGGGCATTTTGGCTTTAAGTGTTTCTATCTCTTGTCCCCTCCCAGATCCTACCATGTATTAGATATGCAAGAAATTCCTTGAGTAAACTATATTTTAAACCGTAGAGCCTTCAGCGCAGAAAAGGGGCCATTTAATCTGCTTAAATCTATACTGTGGCATCAGTAAGTATTGTCTGTCAGTTTAGGGAAGTAGTGGATTCTTGGTGACAACTGAATATTTTCCTTTCCAACTAAAGTTTAAAGGAGAAGGGGAATTGACTCCAAATCCACACACTGGTTTAGCCCCAAATAGAAATATAGCAAAAGCTCGACTGGCCTCTCCCAGTCCAGCCCTTCTGACTTTTACAAATGAAGACACCTTGGCCAGAGGAACAAAGGCGCATCTGCGGTTCGGTACCGTTGGTCTGCGGTCTTTTCACTACAGTGCCGGCTAAGCGGACTCAGCCAGCACCCAGGGCCCGACCCCGACAGCGCCCTCCCCAGGCTGCGCGCCGATGGCGGGGCGGGAGAGCGCCGCGGGGCCGCCGTCCGGAGCAGGCGCGGGCCAGGGCCGGGAGGCGGAGAGAGGAGGTCGGCCCGCACAGCTCTCCCGCCGCAGCGGGCGCGGGCGGAGGGAGAAGCCCAGACATTGTGACGCGCGGGGGAGGGGCGGCGGGGGTGGCCCGGGCTCGCGGGGGCGCGCGGAGCCGGCGGAGGGCATCGCGGCGCCCCGTTGGCGCGCACGCGCCTGAGCGCGAGCCCGGTGGGGCGGGCCGGGACTCGCCGCTCGCACGCCCTTGGGCCGCGGCCGGACGACCGCTCTCCCTTCCGCTCCGTCAGTCGGCGGAGCCGTCGTATGTGCGGCAACATCATGTCTGCTCCGCTGCCTGCCGTCGTGCCTGCCGCCCGGAAAGCCACTGCTGCGGTGAGTGGCGGCGGCTGGGGCTCAGAGGGGCCTACCGGGCCCGCCGGCGACTGCCCCTCGCGTGGGGTGGGCGCTGCAGGCCGGTGGCGCCCGGGGTGGGTGCGGCGGCGGCGCGGGCCGGCCTGCGCAGTGTGGGGACCGCGCTGCGGTCGCGGCCGGGCCGCTGGGTCGGCACCCCAGGCCCTCTGCATTGCGGAGGGAGGGCGCCCCGGGACCCCGGCCCGGCCGGGAGGAATGGGCGCCGCCGCGTTGCAGCGCGTTTCTGCCTGGTTCGTGCATGAGGGGAATCTTGGTCCGCGAGAAAATCGCTTTATTGCCTTGCCCTGCCCTCTGTCTCTAAATGAAAGAAGTTTGAAGATTTAGTGTCTTACAAGATCAGAGGTGTCTCTCTGGGAAAATTGTGTATGAGAACTCAAACTTATGTTTGCCCCCGGAAGCTCCTTTTCGTGATGGAAAAATTCTACAGGATATGTGAGACTTCGTGGTTTGACTTGGAAGAGACAAACTATTTTTCCTAGAGTATGATAATTTGCACTTGAGACTGCCTAACTGGGACCTCTAAGGGCCAAAATCCCACGTTAATTACCTCAGGAACTAAAGGGAGAGAAGCCGATTCGTTTTTTGCCATTTAAAAAAGATCTGTAGAGATTAACTTGCTAAAGATAGTAATGTGTAATTCTCTTGTAGGTTTTAAGAACCTTCATTCCGTTTTCAACCTTAAGCAAAGCTAATGTGTAACAATTCTGTGTGAGCTTATTTAGACATTGTTTATTAATTTTTCCTCTTCTCTTCTAGGTGATTTTCCTTCATGGTCTGGGGGATACCGGGTAAGTACCATTATTATTAATAGTTACAGTAATGAAACGGGATCTTGCAACTCTGCTTACTAGGTCAAAGGTTTAATGTTTAAGGACATTAAAAATGTATTTAAAATGATTGCTAGTAATGTTTCTTACAGTGCAATAAGGTACAGTCTTTTTTGAAAATCTCCTGAATTTTCGCCTTATTATCTTGAATTTATCATTTTTCAACTCCTATTTCTGGAACATATTGAAATTGCAAATTCCTCATTAAATTGGTTTGGGTATTGGATACCAGAGTTTGGTGGAATGTTACTAGAGACAGTGTGCAATTGAGAGCTTTCCAGGGAAGGTAAAATTTCAAAACAGGTTGAGGAGAACTAGTTGATTTTGGTAAGAGAAGTAGTAGCAACATAAGGCATACCTACAGCATTCTGAATGAGGGATTAGGTGTTCCCTCAAAAGAGAAATCACTTGAAAGTCAGGGAGGCAACTCAAAGATTTATTTGGAGGCTTATCAGACACATTTTATTGTACTATAGCTATATGATTTATCTTTTACTCAGGCTTTTTACACATTGAGAGATTTTTGGTTTTTTATAATATTTAACTTAAATTGGGGATTATATGTTTGAAACTGAGGCAAAATATGAATGTTTAAAAATTGAAGAATTGGAGGAAAACTGAAGATAAGCAAATTTTGATAAAGTAGTAGAAAAGCCCTAAGTCTTCTTTAAAATGAGGCATTGGGCTAGATTATTAAAGTAGCTGAAACTACAGGTACATGCCACCATGACTGGCTAATTTTTAAAACTTCATTAGAGAAAACTTTGTTAGAGAGTCTCACTGTATTGCTCAGGCTGGTTTCAAACTCCTGGCCTCAAGTGATTTTATGCATACATATTTATGATAAGTTTAATTTACAAATTAGGTGCAGTAAGAGATTAACAACAGTAATAATAAAATAGAACAATTATAACAATATACTGTAATGGAAGTTATGTGAATGTGATCTCTCTCAACATATTGTACTGTACTCATCTATTTTTGGGTGGTGGTTGAATGTAGGTAACTAAAAACTTGGAAAGCAAAACTGGGGATAAGCAGGGAACTGTTGTATTTATTAAGATATAATTCACATACCAGGCCAGGCGCGGTGGCTCAGGCCCGTAATCCTAGCACTCTGGGAGGCCGAGGCAGGAGGATCACTCGAGGTCAGGAGTTCAGACCAGCCTGAGCAGGAGTGAGACCCCGTCTCTACTAAAAATAGAAAGAAATTAGCCAGACAACTAAAAATATGTAGAAAAAATTAGCTGGGCATGGTGGCACATGCCTGTAGTCCCAGCTACTTGGGAGGCTGAGGCAGTAGGATTGCTTGAGCCCAGGAGTTTGAGGTTGCTGTGAGCTAGGCTGACGCCATGGCATTCGAGCATGGGCAACAGAGCGAGACTCTGTCTCAAAAATATGTATATATATAGATAATTCACATACCAAAAAATTCACCCTTTTAAAATATATAATTCAGTAGTTTTTAGTATGTTCATGAAGTTGTGCAACCATCCCCACCACCCAAATTCCAGAATATTTTCAACATCCTAAAAAGAAACCTCACATGAATTAGCAGGCTACTCATGCCCCTCCCTGGCAACTACTAAACTCTGTTTCTATGGATTTGCTTATTCTGGGCATTTCATATAAATGGAATCGGACAATATTTGGTATTTTGCATCTGGCTTTTACTTAACTCAATGTTTTTCAGGCTCATCTATATTGTAACATTTATCATTACTGCTTTCCTTTTATTGCCAAATAATAATCCACATTTTTAGCCAGGCTTACACCTGTAGTCTCAGCTACTTGGGCCGCTGACGGAGGAGGATCCCTTGAGCCCAGGAGTTTGAGTCTAGCCTGGGCAACATAAGGAGACCCCATCACTTTAAAAAAATTCACATATAAAAAATTTATTCATCAGTTGATGAACATTTAGGTTGTTAGCAAGTTTCAGCTATTATGAATAATGCTACTCTGTACATTCATGTACAAGATTTTGCATGGACATGTTTTGCATTCTCTAGGAAATATACATATGTGTGGAATTGCTGGGTCAATGGTAACTCTATGTTTAACCCTTTGAAGATCTCCCAGATGGTTTTTGTAGTGGCTGCACCATTGTACATTTCTACCAGCAGTATATGAGGGTTCTGATTTCTCCCCTTCATTAATACTTGTTACTATCTTTTTGATTGTAGTCATACAATTGGGTGTGGAGTGGTATCTCATTGTCGTTTTCAGTTGCATTTCCTAATGCCTAATGATGTTGATTGAGCATCTTTTCATGTGCCTATTGGCCATTTGTAAATTTTTTTGGAGAAATATCTATTGAAATCCTTTGCCATTTTAACAATTGAGTTGTCTTTTGTTGGATTTGTAAGAATTCCTTATATATTCTAGACACTAGACTCTTATCAGATATATGATTTATAAATATTATCTTCTATTTTGTGGGGTGTGTTTTCAGCCTCTTTATAGTATGTTTTGAAGCACAACAGTTTTGAATCCTGATGAATTCCAATTTATCTTTTTTCCTTTGGTTACCTGTGCTTTTGGTGTTATAGCCAATAAATCATTCCCTCATCCAAGGTAATGAAATTTTACACTTTTTTTCTTCTAAGTGTTTTGTAAGTTTAGCTCTTAAATTTAGGTCTTTGATCTATTTTGGGTTAATTTTTATGTATGGTGTGAGGTAAGGGTCCAACTTCATTATTTTGCATGTGAATATGCAGTTATCTCATCTAGATTTGTTAGAAAGACTATTCTTTTCCTATTGAATTAATTGTCTTAGCACCTTTGTCAAAAATCAATTGACCATAACAGTAATGTACTTTCAGTCTAATCCATTGATCTGTATGTCTATCTTTATGCCAGTATCATATGGTCTTTATAATATAGCTTTGTCCTAAGTTTTGAAATTGGGAAGTGTTGAGTCCTCTCACTTTGTTTTTCTTTATCGAAATTGCTTTGGCTTTTCCAGGTTCCTTGCATTTCCATGTGAATTTTACTGTGCCAATTTTTGCAAAAAATTTAGGTGAGATTTTGACAAGAATTGCCGTGAATCTATAGATCTATTTGGGGATTATTGCCATCTTAACAATATTGTCTTCCAATTCATGAACACAGGATATACATGTATTTAGGTCTTTAATTTCATTTAATGATGTTTTGAAGTTTTAGTTTGCAAGTCTTTCACTTATTTCATTGAATTTATTCTTCTAAGTATTTTATTCTTTTGGATGCTATATTAAGTAGAATTTTTGTATCAATTTCATTTTTATATTATTCATTGCTGGCATACAGAAATACACCTTTTTTTGTATTGATCTTATATCCTGCAATCTTGCTGACCTCACTTATTACCTCTTAGGTTTTTTTTTTTTTTATTTCATAGGATTTTCTGTGTATAAGATTACAGGATGCTCATGAGAGACTTTTCCAGTCTGGATGCTTTTTTTGTCTTTTTCTTGCCAATTTCCCTGGCTAGAATGTCTAGTAAGGTGGTCTGTTACACTGATTGATTTTCTTTTCTTTTTTTTTTTTTTTGAGACAGAGTCTCACTCCGTTGTCCAGGCTAGAGTGCCGTGGCGTCAACCTAGCTCACGACAACCTCAAACTCCTAGGCTCAGGTGATCCTCCTGCCTCAGCCTCCCAAGTAGCTGGGACTATAGGCATGTGCTACCATGCCCGGCCAATTTTTTCTATATATTTTTAGTTGTCCGATTAATTTCTTTTTATTTTTAGTAGAGACGGGGTCTCACTCTTGCTCAGGCTGGTCTCGAACTCCTGAGCTCAAACGATCCGCCCGCCTCGGCCTCCCAGAGAGCTAGGATTATAGGTGTGAGCCACCGCGCCCGGCCTTATTTTCTTATGTTGAATCACCTTTGCATTCTAGGGATAAATCCCACTTGGTCATGGTGTATAATCCCAATTACACGTTGCTAGATTTGGTTTGCTAGTATTTTTTTTTTTTTTTGAAGATTTCATATCTATGTTTCTATGAAATATTCTGTCATTTTCTTTTCTTACAATGTCTTTATCCAGTTTTGGTATCAGAGTAATGGCAGCCTTATAGAACAAGTTAGTGAGTGTTCTGTCCTCTTTTTTTTTGGATGAGAGGATTGGTGTCAATTCTTCTTTAAATATTGCTAGAAATCTCCATGAAGCCATTTGGTCCTAGGCTTTTGTATGTAGCAAGTTTTTGATTACTGATTCAGTCTCTTTACTTAGTATAGGTCCATTCAGATTTTGTTTCTTTTTGAATCCATTTTTGGTAGTTTGTATCTTTCTAGGAATTTATTTATTTGATCTAAATTATTTATTACCATGTAACTGTTCATAGCGTTCTCTTTTAATCCTTTGTATGTGTCAGGTTAGTAGTAATGTCCTTTCTTTGATTCCTTATTTTAGTCATTTGATTCTTCTCTTTTTTTCTTGATCAGTCTATCTAAAGGTCTGTCATTTTTGTTGATCTTTTCAAAGAACCAACTTTTGGTTTAGTTGATTTTCTCTGTGGCTTTTCTGTTCTCTATTGCATTTATTGCTGTTCTAATTTTTATTATTTTCTTCTTTCTGCTTGCTTTGGGTTGAGTTTTAGTATTTTAAAGTGGAAGGTTAGATTATGGATTTGAGATCTTTCTTCTTTTTCAATATAGGTGTTTATAGCTGTAAATTTCCATCTGAGCATTGCCTTTGCTGCATCCCATGAGTTTTGGCTGCCACTTGTGTTTACTTTTTTAAAATGGTTAGAAAAAGTTAAGAATAATATTTAGTGACACATGAAAAGTATATGAAACTCAAATTTCAGTGTCCATAAGTAAAGTTTTGTTGTGGAACACAGCCACATCTATTTGCTTACACAGTGTCTGTGGTTGCTTTTATCCTAGAGTGGCTGGCTTTAGTAGTTGCAACAGAGACCTTCTGGCTCACAAAGCCTAAAATATTGACTGTTTTGGTCCTATGCAGAAAACAATTAA